TTTGTTTTATAATTAATATTCTAATATTTAATAAAAATTGTAACGGCCACGTCTTAAAAATTAATATAATTGCACTCTTAATTTGGTAAGTAAAATTATTTTTTATGTACCTATTAGAATATTGTAACTGTATCTATTCTTTCTTCTGATTTTACATTTATTTAACATTTGAATTTTAAGTTACTCATGCTTATTTTTATTCATTTTAATTAAGGCAATAAAATTAATTTTAAGGGCAATTTTTTGAAGTAAAATAACATGTAGTTTTTGAATTTTGCTTAGGAAATAAATTTTTAAAAATAAATCATAACCGTATCAATTATTTTGTCTTTTCATTTGTAAAGATTTCATTATAAATAATTTAATATATATATATGATAAATAATCCTACCTATTTTCTTCCAGCCATTTTAGTAATGTAAATTAATGTTAGTTTTATCAACTTATCTTTGGTATTATTTTTATGTTTATTATTATAATAAAAATTTCAAATTATATAAAAATTAGGTTATTCATTATGTTCATATAATAATAGTCATTTATTTAAATTATACATTTCTATTGCTCATATTTATCGAAATATAAAAATCCAACTAAGAGTCTCTAATGTAATTTGATTATATATATGAAACATAGGATTGAATAAATTTTTGTTTTAATTATGATTTTTATATATAGCATTTACTTATTTTCACTTTTTTTGTAACCTATACATATGCATAGGATTAATACTTGTTTCTATGATAACGTCACGGCTCCATAATATGATCAATAATTATCAACAAAATGCTTCCCATCACATAACATATTGTATTGAAAAATCTAGACCACTTGCCTTTGTTTGGGGAGAAAGAAAATAATAACAATAAATTCTCGAGTCATTAATTAAGCCACTTGTTAAAATTAGAGATACCAAAACTGAAAAATCAATAAAGAGATGCATACCCAAATTAGGTAATGCAAGCACATGGAAACATTTGGAAACCAATAATAATTAACATGAATTTGTGGGCTAGTGACATTTTTAGATACTTTAAAATAAAATAAACTACTTGGTTTTAATAACATAGTCAAAATTCTTAAAATCACATAAATAGTTCTAATTATAATTTTCATATTGTCAGCTAACTATTTTGTAATAGTACCGCAAAATTATAAAATTGCATTATTATTTACATTTTATGTATATAATAATTAATATGTAGCTAAATAGATTTATATTGTACATATTTACTAATGATCAAAATTTTAAAACGTGATAACATTATCTAATTTATAGTTTTAATATTATATACACGCATATAATTAATAATTAGTATTTTCATAACATTAATAAAACTATATCATTTAATGATATATGTATACTAGATACATTGTTCAGTATGGAATAAAACTCTGCATAAACATTATATATGTGAAAAATATAAGTACTGATTTTACAATAACTAAGTTGTAAATCAAGTTTATATAGGGTTTATAGAATATATTATTACTAACGTATGCTTAATAGGTATTATTAACAAGCATATGGAATTATAAAAATGCATCATATATGTTCAGTATATATTACGTATTGTTTAAATATAATTAAGAAGTAGAAAAAAATAAATAAAAAAATGATTACTATGCGAGTTGATCAAAGACCTACACCCAAAAAAATCAAGAAATAAACATCTGAAATAAAAGTATAATATTTATATTTATATTTTCCAAATTTCAAATTAAATATACGAGGATCCGCATGGGCCCATTATCTATATGGGCTTTGTTTGTGGGCCTCCCACGTATCTGAAAATGATCCACTTATACTGCACAGTACACACCCCTCGCGTGATCCAAATAATTGAGTTTTTACTCCCTTTTCCAATCTCATATATCAGCATATCGTACATTAATTGTTTGTCTGTATCAATTCTCAAAGTAAATAATATCGCAATGTAACAAAGGCATCCCAAGTAACACTCTCAATTATTGGTCAATTTACATACATTTTATTTGCTCATAAAATAATTTTATCATTAGATAAGCCAAGACTAATTATAAATTAAATTATCAATGTTGTTTATGGAGAGACTTTTTTAGATAATTTCAAAAAATTAAGAAAGAATTGTTTTATACAAAAAAAAAGGTTAATTCTAACTTGGGGAATCTGAGAGGGGATTGCCACATTTTCAAGATCCTCTACTGTATTTATTATTCATCTTATATGATAAACAAATTTTGTTTATTATCATTTATTAATCATATGCAGGTATCAAAATTGATTTGAATCTAAATAATGAAATAATCAAATTCTATACAATATGATATATACTATTAGTTAATTTATTTGAAGATTCAAAATTTTCAAACAAATTGACAGTATAAACAATTCGAATATTAATTCTCCAAAATTGATTGTGTGACACTTGAATTTTCAATTGATTGCAAGTTGGGCAGCGGACCAGAAAAGGATGCTACAAGGAGCACATTAAAAGCCCCAGTTTGCAATATGCCATTTTCTGCGTGATAGAAGCTTCATGCAATAAATTCCTTTTCAAAACTTTATTTTGAACAGAAGATGAGCCATAGATGAAAATTCACTATGTAATCATATTGGACAACGTTATAGACCTAGTTTTACCCAACTAAAGAAATAAATTATTTTTCACATCAATTATCTTGTTGTGCTAAGAGATGGAACAATGTTAATCAACGAGGGTAATTAAGATTATTGTTAGACAGGCCTAACGACTAGGTAATTATACTTTTTCAATAGATATGCCTATTTTTGTATACAAGTAACATGCTTTAAAAAAATATAGATAAAAGTATGATATTTCTCAATATAAGTATGCATTAAAAAAAAAATTATGAGGGGCCAATAATTTTAAATTCAATATGTCATTATATTTAGTGGACTATTTTGCACCAATCTTCAAATTCAAATTAATTTACAAATTTTGAGGTGCTATTAGTGTTTAGGTTGCACAAGATCGAACTTTTGGTATCATAATCAACGAGACACATATTATCAGATCATACGATAATCTTCTATACGTGCTACCTTCTGGTATCTTAATTAACCACATATATAAATGTTTTTCTTTTTAGTTTTTACAACAAAAATTTTTGTATTTACTACATTAATTCCATTGTTTTACTTGATATATATATATATGAGGTTGGTAAATTGATATTGAATTTGAAGCTTTGAACCTAAAAGAAAAAAAAAAAAAAGGAAAAGAAAAATAAACTCTAAAAAATCCTAAGAAAGGACCAAGATTTAATATCCATCGAGCCCACAAAAATGGAACCCTATGATCTCTAAATATGTTGCCTCAAATTAAGAAGTAGGAATGTTTAGGCTTGAAAGGAAGCAGACAACATGCATTTAATGTATCAAGTCCTACGTTTTACGACTATAGTGGTCCAAAATCCAAATGCAATATGTTCTGTTAAAAAGATTGTATAAATTATAATATAGTAAAAGGGAAAATGAGAAAATATAAATAAATAAAGTAGGGGGTAAAATATTTATGGATGAGTTAGCTTAGCCTTTGGCAGGTGTTGTGGTCTTATACACCTCAAATGTCACTTTTACTGGGTAAGAAAATTTAAAAAGAGACAGAAAAATGCCTGGTACTATGGACATGTCCAGAAATTAACTGTAATAAATAACTTTGTACTGCTATTTTGTAAGCATTGTTGAGTGCTCAGGGCCAAAGACAAAGAGATCTGAACTTCAGTTGTGGAAAAAAAAAAAAATTGATATTTTAATATATGGTGAGAAATTTTAAATTAAGAAGACTAATAAACTCCATAATGTGAATTGTGTAACCGAAAAAGATTGTGTCGCACTCACTTGAAATATGATGAAATTATCATTATAGAAAAAAAAATAAAAATCACCTGTTATATTAAAATTCAAGTTTTAATGAAATAAACGAGGGTCAAGTAATATGATATGGAGATATCAAGAAACAGTAATTGTTAAGTAGATATAAGCATTAGTTAATCATAATTTGTTGGCAAATATACATATTTTTATATTAAAACAACATAAATAAAAAGACAATATTTTGCCATATTATAAATGTGTACTTTTATTTAAAAAAATGTGACGAGACAATCTTATTGACCATTAGGCTGACACACAGTAGCATTTGTGTAGAGAAAATTAAATATTCGTTAAAAAAAATAAAAAAATTAAAGATTTGTACAAAGATATAACTATAACTTTACATGATGAAGAAAGTGATTTTTTATGAGATAATATTCTTACGTTTTATATATTCTTGCTGATTTAATATTTTGATCAACATAAGATAAGAGACGCACGTGCCGTCATCCTATATAGAAATCGTTAATACTATTATCATACAGGCCAATTGGGCTTAATTTTGAAACTTCTGCTTGGCCCAGATTTACTATAATTTGGGCTTCAGCCAAATAATTCACTCAACTTTCAAATATTGTGATTTGGGCCTATTTCTACATAATATATTGGTAGTCAGAAATCAAGTATAAAATGAGCTACATATTTCTGTCAAGTGAACCAAATCACCCGTAAATATTTAATTAATTATATTTTTATATATAAAATTTAATATATAATATAACATATATTTTAAAACTATTAGTATACTAAATTTCGGTCTAATCGGTTCAACCACTGGTCCGACGAGTGAACCATTAAACTAGTAGCTCTTTCGGTTCGATGACATGTCCGGTTTTGAAAACAATAAGTAAAACCCACTACTATAAACAAAATGTTCATTTCTTGAAACATAATGAGCAAGTTGAGTAAAAGTTACAACTTCAATTGCACACAAAAGTTAGTGAGTTATGCTATACATCATCAGAACTATTTAAAGATAAAATTTTAACAAGCACACATTATTCTTCTCAGTTCTTATTATCATATTACCAAATTAATAATCCAGATTGTGACAACAAATAATTCAGTAAACCAGTTGGTGAATAAATTCCTCAAAGTAGATTAGGACATTCGAACAGAAAAAGAAAAGTAAAAAAAAAATACAAATAAGTGCTTACACCTTCTTTCATTATAAGAAGTTATTGACACGAAAACTTCTCCGTGTATTTATTCCTTAATTTCTTAGCATGTTCTTTGTAATATTATTTCCTTAACCCGTTATTAGTACGTAATATGGTGAAAAATTAATGAAGCTAAGTAAGATTATGAAGCTCTCATCTCTTGCAAACAACTCCCTTCCCATCAACACCACTGCTACAGCTGATGGCCGGCAGCTCGAGAACATTTCCTAGCTGCATTAATTCGCCGCTTTGAAACTGCGAAACTTCGCAATCAGCAGCGAAAAGGTTCGAAACCGCAAACTCCCTTTCCCCGCCAAGAACCGGCATCGGCACTCCCATTTTCACCCTACTCACGTAGTTCTTCCCGTAGGTCCGCCCCAATACTCCGTTCACGTTCTCGCTCAACGAAAAGAATTTGAAACCGAGCTCGAGATGCGCGAAGCAGTCGTCGTCAGTGATTCCGTAGTTGTGGACTTTTGACTCGTGTTTCGTGATGGGGACCACATTTGCCGAGATCTTGAAAAGCCCTTCGACCTCTATGATCACGTTGTTCGTGTCGGCGTCCCTTGCCACGGTGGCGGAAGGGAGGTTCGCGGCTTGCCATGTGGAGCCCTCGACGGTTGGGAGGGAAATGGGTTCACCGTCGAAAGCTAGCGAGAGTCGGTCGACGGCGTCGTCCCATACGGCGGTTTTCTGTGCACCGACGAAGAGTCGGTGGGGCCCGAAGAGGATGCCGATGGATTGGACCCACGTGAAGTCCCGTTTCATGTTTTCGTTGCGACGACCGATGAAGTGGGCGTTGATGTGGAGGTTCGGTTGGGTGACGAGGCAGAAGTCGCGATCCTTCTTGCCGTGGAAGTAGAAGGTGATGCCGTCCCCGCCTATGAAGCGGGGGTCTTGGCATACTGCGCCCGGCATATCGCATTCTGCAATCCGAAAGAGGAAACTTGTTAGTCGTGAATTAAGTCTCATGTTAAATTATAACTGAAAATGAATACTTATAATCATCGATCGGGTGAATGACTTACGGCAGACAGGTCTACAGGTGACGCAGTCGATCTCGCAGGTGTGTGGACAGGAAGCGGGACAAACGTGTTGCACGCCGTAGCAGTGGGGATAGTTTTTGTTCCTGCACCTCTTTCTCCTTCCTCCAGCAGCTTCTGATAAATCTGCCGGAGGTGTGGGAACATCGGACGGAGGAGGACGAGTAACTGGTGCTGGAGGTGTAGGTGTTGACGGAGTTGGTGGAGAGATTGTGGGAGTTGATGCTGGCGGAGTTTGCGGTGGTGGAGATTGTGTGGGTGTAGTGGGAGCCGAAGGTGGCGGAGTTTGTGGTGGTGTGACGGGGATAGATGGAGGAGAATATGGTGGTGAATTCGGGATCGGAGTTGGTGGAGACTGTGGTGGTACGGGTGTTGGAGTTGGTGGTGACGGTGGCGGTGTGATGGGAATGGATGGAGGAGAATTTGGCGGTGAATCGGGCACCGGAGCTGGTGGAGATTGCGGTGGTATGGGTGTTGGAGTTGGTGGTGACGGTGGTGGTGTGACGGGGATTGATGGAGGAGAATTTGGAGGTGAAGCCGGTGGAGACTGCGGTGGTACGGATGTTGGAGTCGGAGGAGTTTCGTTTCTATCATCCCCACCTCCCTTTCCATGTCCTTTTCCATCATTATCATCACCTTCTCCACCTCCCTTTCCATGTCCTTTTCCATCATTATCATCACCTTCTCCACCTCCCTTTCCATTATTATCATCACCTTTCCCACCTCCCTTTCCATTTCCTTCTCCATTATTATCATCACCTTTTCCACCTCCCTTTCCATTTCCTTTTCCATTATCATCATCAACTTTTCTTCCTCCTTTTCCATTATCGTCTCCTTTGGAATCATCGGAACCGATTGCATGTACGTCCTCCGGTGGCGATGGGGACTCGGAGTCTGGCGGTGGGGTCGTGGACACGTCGCCACATATTGGTTTGCACGAGACACATTCGACCGTGCAAGAATCAGGGCAAAACTTGGGGCACACGTGCTCCAAGTTGTAGCAATGCTTGTACTTTTTGATCAAGCACCTTGCGTGGCTTGGGTTTTTGGCTATTCCCGGCGGGGTTGCCTCTACTATTATTGCCACCACCATCAACCACAAGGCCAATACCGTAATATTCCATCTCAACGGCCTAGCCATATCTCACTAGCTATAACAGCTTTATTATGTTGTTATTGTAAAGATACTTAATTGGATTAATTGAAGATGGGATGTTAAGAGAGGCATAATGGATCTTATTTATATAGGTGTGAGTGTGAACCGATTTCTGTTATTTCGGATCATAATGCGATATTTAAATCGGTTGAGTAAAAGATTAAAAGGGTGTTTATGTGAGTTCACTCATCGTCCACATGGTTTATTCATGAAATTTGAGATTAATATTATTGGCTATATGATGGTTTCCAAGTGCACAAACTTTTGACTTTGTTGCTTTGAATTGATTTGGTATCACTTAACCATCAAGTCAATAGAAGCACTTTTTTGTGACTTGTATTAATTGAACATTTTAGGTACATTTGATCCAAGTGGTATGCATGCATGATGCTATATCAACCTCTCAAAATGGTAAATAGATAATTATACGTTTTAATATATATATTGATATGGGATGTCATACCGAATCAGGTAGCTAAGCACTAAAACAATGATATACGCACGTTAAAAGTTCACAAATTTACCACTATGTCAACACTACAGAATACACAATAGTGTTAGACGAAATACACATCGTGAAAATGAACATTAGCGTAACAGTGTATTATGCGCAATGACAAAAATACCCTTGCCTTAAAGATCAAAAGTACCCATAATTCATAAATGTCACCTCTCATTTGACTAATTCTAGAGCCTTTGAATAATTCTGGGGCGTTGATATAACCAATTCAACCGCTACGATTCATTCTTATTTTTTTAACTATTACCCATCATATTTCTATATATATATATATATTAGGATATAATATTTTGAATATAAATAAATATTTTTATTTCAATAAGTACAACGAAGGACGGCTCTTGGGACTGTAGCTAAATAAAAAAGGAAAATCACTTTCAGACTAGAAGTTATCATTACGTGAATACATTAAAAGTGCCAATCAACTACTTCAAATGCACACTAGAGTTGATAATCAATTATTATAATTCTTATTATTATTATTGTTGTTTTTGTTGTTGTTAAGACTTGCAATTACTGCTATCAAGTGTAATCTTAGCTCGGTAACTCAAAAAATTATAAAAATCAGATAAAATTACAATAGGTAAGCCTTGTCCGAATAATTGTTATCCAAATCTATGCAATAATTTTCAAATTTGTTCAAGTCATTTTAGTTAGAATCTTTATGATTAAAGAAATTGGATTGCACAATATATGTTTAAAATTGTATAACCAATTCCTTGGCCCTTGCACATAAAAGCAAAATAAAAAACACTTTCTTGTGATTAAAATATTCCTAGACAACTTGCCTCGTCTGTCTGGTTTACATATTTTTCATTTTGATATTTCTCCGGAAAATTCAGCTTTACAGCTGCGTATTGCTTATTCTTTTACTAAATGGATTTTGGGGATGGAACACAGGTTCAAAAAATAAAAAATAGATAAAAATATTTGGGAACTTGAAATTTTTGTATCCAAGCCCTACTTAAATCCCTTTTATGGGTTTTGTTTCATATTCTATTAATATTACTTTGGGAGAATATATCTGAAAACAAATTATAAAACTATGGAAAAATACCTCGAAAGTGCCATATGTTCAATTTTTTTTTTTTCACGAAAAACAAAAATAAGAATATCAAATTTTACCATCAATAACTTGTACAATGATATTTCAAATACATAAGACAATATAAATTACTAAGTATTAATGACTAGCGCAAAGTAAATTCAACAATACTGCAGAATTTACTCAAATCAAATTTGCTGCTTTACATAGCATTATGAACCATATTTGAAACTTGAAGTAGGAAAAGAACACTATTCTGGAGCAGGAGAACCTAAAGCTGTGTTTGTTAAAGTAAAAATTCAAACCAAATTAATTTTACTAAAAATCTAACTCAACTTTAACTCAACCCCACTATCCTCAATATTATCAATATAATTAAATAATAACCAATCATTTTTACATATCATATCAACTTTAATTCACTATTTATCCACTCACATAATTTTAACTAACCAAAATCACTTCATATCATCTCTCTCCTACTTTAACATCAAACCAATTTTAATTATTTTACTTTAAATATTATTTTAATATAAACTCAAAATTCCACTAACAACTAACTAACCCACTTTTTCTAAATTAACCCTAGTTAACTCAAAAAAATTCTCGAGTTATTTCACTTAAATTATTCCTTTAACAAACACACCCTAAGCAAACACCCAAATTTATCGTTTTTTCTTGTCTAATTTTCTTTTATTGGCAATACAAGATGCTTTGCGAGCTTCCATGTTAACAAAACACATAACTCACATAAGGATTGAGCACAGCATGCACAAAGCTTAACATATGCTTCCATGTCCCAAATGTAAAACTCTTAATAGTCTCAAGGGATAGCGTGAATAAGAGGGATGCCAATGAAGACCATGAAGCTTGTTCTAGATTTGGCTAATAATTACCATGCAATCGGAAATAGGTCTTGAAGCTGCGTGATGTTCATTTTTCTGCACCAATTTTCATGAAGCAAATGTGTATCATGTGCCACGTCATCATTTACTACACATCTAAACTGGAAAAAAAAAAAAATATATCCTCCACCATATCATCAAAAACTGGCCCTAGTACTATTTACTAGGTTTAAATCTGTCACAAATGATTTGCCTGAAGAAAAAAGATGTGATGTGTATATTTTATGGTTTATGTGTATGGTTAATCACAAACAATTATTTTCAACTTGGATTATGAAATACTTACAAAAATCCGAGTGCCACTTGATGAGGATGCATCTGATGGGGGATCCCTCGGCACCTACCAATCTCAAAGGCAGGCAATGCAAGTTATATAGTCCAACTGGAATTTTGTCGAGTTTGAGTCCCTCAACTAGGATAATTTCCTGAAATATTTCAATACATTCAATTACTTTCAGTAGGAGTATATTCCACTACCATAGGAGTAGACTACGGCAAAAACAGAGAAACACGTTAAAATAGAATAGGCACACTATCTTGCAAAGTTGTATTGATTTGAAGCTAGAATAATTTCAAATTCATCAAGAAAACAAGGAAATTGTTAAATAAAAAAAAAACCAACAACAACAACTACATATAACCATTGACTTCATGATATAATTTGAAATTAATTATTGTCCCTTATAGTATTTCAGCAGATGATACTTGAATAAATTATTTCCAGAGTACCAAATGTGTGCTCAACAAATGTACAATTGTGCAACAGAAACTTAACATTTCTCTTTAGTGAAAGTGATCAATGTTTCTAGAAACAGAAGTGGCGTTACAGAGATTTAAGAGTTATGAGAAAATATATTCTTGCCTTGCTTTTGAGAAGAACAAGATGAGAAGGGATTAAATCATCATAAGCAGCAACAGACAAGTAGTCGATTCCTGCAAAAAGATGTAAAAGCAAAAATGTGTGGAACTCAAGTACACTTAAGGAAATATGATATTTTCAAATAATTGCTAGTTTTTTTAACTTTGTCATTTCTGCAGAAAGAACAACTTTTCCTTTATCTAACATGTTAGATGTTATGTTTGTCCCACATTGATTGGTACTAGGTTGTTATTGTGTATAAGTGTGGTTTGGGCACCCTCTCCCTTTGAGCTAGCTTTTGGGGCTGAGTTCTACTCAAGCCCTTTTATAAAACAATTTTTAATTAACAAAGTGTTTAGCCTTACCCACAAGTTTGATGTCAGTGTTGTCCACAAGCCACTGTGCTCCATCTTTCATGAAGCCCACATAACTTGTGTCAAATGCAGTTTTATACATAAGGCCCCTGAAAATAATTTGTATGGAATATCCACAATATGAAAATCACTCATAGATACAATGGTTTATTCTACCTAGAAAACAAAGTGGCAAGAACCTTGTTACATTCACGGATTACACTGTATCATGCTCTGACTGATCTAACCAAAATCTTGTTATTTTTATTCAGAAAAAGTGACTGAAAGTAGCTGCGTCATGTTGCCAATATTCTGCTCACATTTTGCTTATTTTGAAGATAAAAGCATTGTTCATTTTAGGTCGACACATCTTTTGATGCAAGTGAAGGAGTGTTGATTATTCAATCTTAGTCTCATAAATAAATTTGAGATCACCATTATACAAAGTTTCATGTCATTGCACTGTCTGTGAACAAAATTTTATTTTCATGTAAGTAAATAGATTGTTACAGATTCCCATTCCGTTTCTGTTTCAGGCATTTGAACAAAGCATTTAAATAAAGATTCCAAATATCCCACTGCTACTATTTTGATATTTCACCACTATTTTAAGTCTACATTGAAGGAGCACAGCAGCTCGGATGCTGTAACAGCACTTATATCCCATGCAGAACGAATTTAAATCCAAGCTATACCACGAGTTACTGCTGATACACTTACCTGTCTGTATTAAGTGTTCTGAAAAGTACTCTTTTTACTCCCTTGGGAATGTTTAAGGACTCCATTACTTCGGCTGCAAACCCAAAGAAGATGAAAGAGATGATGAGTAAATATCTATAAGAATGTTAGGTTAAAGCATAAAAGAAACCACTTACCACACGTCATCATATATAAGATCTAACCACATTTTCACTAATAACCTAAGTGTGAATTTGAAACTTCTGTTTAAAATGCAAAAAAAAAAAAAATGTGCAAGTTTTAAGAGCACAATCAAAAGCTCAATCTTTAGTATATCGAATTCATATAGGCACTGTGTTATTTGCATCACAGACAATAGAATGTAATTAATATTTTATAGTATCGTATGTTTGGACTACAGACAGAAGTCTGATAGTATAATGTCAATAGAAGCCTTGACTTGCGTTCCAAATGTTGGAATAGATCATTAGCAAACGGCAATGTAGGTTATATTATATTTCGGGAGTTTACAGTTACGAAATACTAACTAGAGGCTAAATGCTTATCTAACACATATACTTCAAACTCTAATTCAGCAGATGCACCCATATCATTTAGCAAATTAATTGAAAATATAAATATCTGGTAGATAGGCATAGAGTAAGGAATGCTGAAATATATAACATTCAGTTAATGGTAGATTTTGTACTAATTCGTACCCGTAATATTTTTGTCTCTTGGAACATCAACAAGTAATGCAGGACCTGTTCAAACATAGAATCAAATCGTACATCCATGAATCAATTTTTAGATTGTCAAAGTAAACATTTCACCAAGAATATATCTGAGTTAATGCACAAGTGACAGCACTGCAAAAGACAGAGAAAACAAGTAAACAGATACAAAATTTCAAGAAAACCCTAGCAGATCGAGAGACTAGATCCCTTTCAGTAAAGCAGAAGGTCGCATGAGAATTTCTATGTGACAAGGCAAAAGCTACAAAAGGCAGTAACAAAGAAATCTAAGTATATCAAAGCACCAATGGATGACCAATACTGGTAAAACTGTGGATACTGTCCAGAGGAAAGATAAATCAGAATTTAGTACAAGACTTGAAACTTTTGCACACAAATTAGGTCAGAAATGCATCGTGCTCGAACTCTAACTTAATTATAAAGTGCAAGATGCACATGAAAGAGCAAATCAATCAGTATTAGTAGAGTTAACTCAATACCGTTCCATCCCCTCAGATGAATACATAAGGGTATAGGTTATAAGTGCTTCAAATCTACTAACTACAGAAAGTTAATACACTAGAACACTTTGTTTGTCGGAAGAACTTATCAATATAATTTAAAATTCTCCAAGCACTGTATACAATAACATGGATGGGAGTTCAACTTTAAATACATCAATTCTGATGTCAAGACTATCCACATCGTAACCCTCGTCATAGTAATTGTCATACATATGACTAGGCACATCGACATGAGTTCCAGAACGAACAGGTATTTTTATCTCCAAGAAATTGTAATCCGGCCCAATCTCATGCTCATCACAAGTGTAAGAAAGTGGTAAATTTATGAGATTTCTACATTTTCAAGAATCTGCCCCATCAAAGACCTCGAGGCGGAACCACAAACACCAACACAATCACTCAATACATCACCAAAGCTAGAAGGGTATGGACATTCGGATGACGAAGATAAGAGATGAGGCGAATTGATTGCAGAACAATACAAATCAGAAAAACTTGCACAGACCTCATCTTTTCCCTCTTATGTTGCAAGGTTAGGATATTTCTCTATATTTACGTAAAATGTAAGGCCTTGCTCAGATGTGTGACTGATTTTGTAAAGTTTATCGAGTGGAAGCATTTACCACTTTTGAAATGAAAACTACAGCTGCAAGGCAACAACTACCCACTAAAGATACTTACTAAGTTATACTAATTCAATTAAGAACATCAATTTTCCAATGAAGCTGAACTTAACCAAAAGATATTCTCAGGAATCATGCATAACTGCATGCACAATTTGATCCAAGCAAGCCTTTTGAAACAATATGTAGCTATTTATCTCTATCCGCCGCTTGAACTGAGTAGAAAAAAGACAAACCTACTTATGTCCAATTGATACAGACAAACCTCAGTAAGACATACTCTACCTCAAAAACCAATGGGTAGAGTGTAATTTCATCAAACATGTAGCTATCAATTAATCAACAAGCACAGTAACACTTACATCATTCAGATCAGATTATGCACGGATTGGTACAACAGAGCCAATAGCAGCTAAGAAATCATAACAAGTTCACAAGGTAAACTAAAGTGAAAAAAACAACAACAAAAAAAGCCAAATCACGAGCCAGCAAAAAAATCCACCAACCGATTCATACCGTTGAGGACTTCAAGGTCAAGCGTGTCAACATCGAACCCGGAATCAAAGTAGTGGTCGTATACGTGCCCCGGCGCGTCCACGTGCGTGCCCGTGTGAGTCCCGAGCTTCATCTCCGAGTTGTTAGCCAGCGATCCGTTCTTCATGCTCTTAGCGAGCCACACGTAGCCGCCGAGGCCGTCTTCGGAATCCCATGACGGCAAATCCTTATGCACCCTGTGAGTGATGTCCAAGATACGACCTGTCCCGTGAATCTCGCGGCGGGGCGGGAGCCGATCGTTAGCCGCGGCGGAGGCGGCGGAGGCGGCGGAGGCGGCGGAGGATTCGTCAAGGCCGTAGGGCGGAGGGTATGCGGCGTCGGGGTTGGGCATAGCGTACATGAACACACCGTGCGCCGCTGCGCATATTAGCAGGAGCGGAAGAAGCGCAGATATCATCGTGCGTAGATTTGGAGACTGGGCAATTGGAATTTTGTGTAAATTAGGGATAGAGCAGTGTAGAGCAGTTGAGTAGCAGCTCAGTTGGAATTTTCGGCAATTGATTGGGTAGACTTTTAGATAAAATAAGCGCTGGAGCCTGGAGCCTTGATGGCCAAAATATGGCTGGAGTGTGTTCGGTGAACATTATAAATTATTTTATAACTCATTTTAGCAGCTTATAAGTATTCAAATAAGATTGATTTGGCGAGTTTATCTCATAAATTTAAATTTTTATGAGTCTCGTTGATTTTTTTATTTCAGCTAACTTATCAACTAATTTTACCAAATACTTTTATCATATAAATTATTTTTCAACTATAAGTCATAAGTTATTAACTTTAATCTCAAAATTCATTTATAAGCTATTAGCTAGATTTACCAAACATGACGTAAGACTTTCGAGTTTGCCATTCATTTGTGTTTTTCGACCTCAGAATTAGGTCGGACGAGTGTTGAAACCTTGATGCCAAAAATTCGGCATGACTAAGGTTTTCGATCTAGACAATCACTCGTGTTTCTCATACCTCAGAGGTGAGTCAGGCGAGTGTTGAAACTTTGATGGCAAAAATCTAGCATGACTAAGGCTTTTGAGTTGGTCAGTCACTCGTGTTTCTCGACTTCAGAGGTAGGTCGGGCGAGTTTTGAAGCTTTGATGACAAAAATTCGGGATGATTAAGACTTTCGAGTTGGCTAGTCACTCGTGTTTTTCGACCTCAAATATAAGTCGGGAGAGTGTGGAAGTGTTAATGGTATTGTATTTTTAATCTTGTTGCAAAACTTAAATATGGATTAAAGCTTTTTATCTCGATCTTAGTTGTAGGTCGATGGTTGTAGGTTGATGAGGCGGACAACGGAAATTTTTATAACTCAACTACGATAACAGGTGGATAAATAAACATTCACTTGACCTCGGTGGAAGGTCGACAACACAAGTAATTACCATCACAAAGAAATAAGAACTCTTCATTGCAACAAAAAAAAAAAAAAAAANTAAAAAAAAAAAAAAAAAAATAACAAATCGTTCTAAGGAATTTAAGAGTACAACAAAACTTGCACGCTAATACCTACTGGTTTATAGGAGTAGTGTTTTCTTCAAGGGGCGTCTGTCCCTCTATAGAACCTGCGACCTTAGATACCTATTCGATTTGAGTGGAAACTTCAGGTATAGTAGCAACTTGATCGGTGCGGGGCCCCTAAAGCTGAGGTTGACGTGGAGGAAGGGTTAATTACTTCTCCAAACCTCATCAATAAATTGTCTTCTCCATCGTGGCTCCTACCACTTGTGGGCGAGAGGGAGGTTGGGGTCGCCAAAGTAGCCGTAAGGGAAGGGAAGACTCCACTCCGCAGCGTGCGATCAAGGCTTTCTATGTAACCCTAAGCGTCAAGCTTCTCCTCAGCTCGGTGCAGTGATATGGTGAAATGCTTGACAACAGTAGGGCCAAGCTTTTGCAGGAAGCTCGAAGAATTACAAAAGTCATTCACAAGCTCTTCCTGGTAAGCCTCCATGAATTGACCCCCCAACCGAGATATGTAAGGAAGCCTTGACGATCTGCCTTAAGAGCAGCAACATGCTCTTCGGTCTGGTCATTGAGTCATTTTTTGAGGTCGAATACATTTTTGAGGAGATGTTTGTTCTTCTTTTGTTTTGGCTCCAGCTCGCTTTTGGACTCCACGTTAGAAAGGGAGGAATTGTGCAGTCTTTTGTGTAACATGAAGATGACCACGGATATGAGCTGTGATGTCAAGGAATCGTCAAATAAACGCTTTTAATAAAGGTTCTAATCGAAGTCGCAAATAGAACTTACGCGAGCAATGACAATAGCTTTGTATTAAGCTCAAGCCTTAGGGTTAGATTCCCAACGTTCGGTCTCTTCGAAAGTGATGACCAACATCAAGTAGGTAAGGAGTACCGCTGCAGCAATGCACAAAGAAGCTAGTATCGACATGACCTAATCTACAATGGCTCAAGGCAGCAAATGCTACCATTATTCTGATTGAGTTCAGAGAAAACTGGTTGATTGGGATGTCGTAAAGAGTACACAAAGATAGAAGACTTGCACGAGTATGGACTAAGTATACTCTCGATCTAGTCGCAAAAAAAGGTATAATAATCTGTTGAAGGTACATCATGAGTGAAAGGCTTAGGAATGCGAAACTCCAAAGAGGTTGGGAACTCACACATAATCTTAATTCTTAAAATGATCCAACCAATCACGAGCACTATGAAAGGGTTAGCTTTTCGAGTTACTGAGACAATATGAGGAATGGAACTACGTAGGAGAGGTAGGATAGCTATGGCGGTAGAAGTAGATCGGGCAAATTATGAAGGCAATGGAAGTGCTTTTTAAGGTTCTTGTTTGTCCCATTTTTGTTACGATTTTCTTTATTGTTTTGCTTCTCTTTTTCCCCCATTTTAGGACTTTTAGTTAGTTTTTATTTTTTTTTTTGTAGTTTATTATGTGTTTTGCTCTATTTTGGTTTTTATGTGTTTTTCGTGTATTTTGTCGGTTTTCTACGTTTTTCTTCTTGTTTGATGTGTGCAGGTCGAAAGCCCCGTGAGGAATGGATTTAGACCAAAATCTGACCCGGCAAGAATGGTTGAGTAGAAAGGTTCGTTAGCTACATTAGGAAGAAACGAAACTCGATTTCGAGTTCAGACGAATCCAAACGGGGCCGAAACGTAAAGTCCAGCAAGATGTCGACCCTTTGAAGGTTGAAAAACTCTAGAGAATTGTACTATTGGCAAAATTTTGTCATGAAAGTATCATTGAATAAAGGGGTTCGTTAGCGACGCGTAGGAAAAAACGGAACCCAATTCCGAGTTCGGACGAGCCCAAACGAGCCCCTGAAGCAAAATAGTGCAGTGCAGGAATCAGCCACCGCGGCTCGGCGCGAGGGACCTTCGCAGCGCGGCACAACTGTCCACCACGGCGTGAAGCAACCTCCGCGGTGCGGCACGGCCTTTCTCCGCGCCGTGGAGCCTCCGCGACCCCTACAGAGACTTCCCAGGCCTCCCAGCTCCGCGCCGTAATGCATGTCCCTGTCGCGCCGCGATGCCGTATCGCGCCGCGGTGCCCACATCTTTATCTTTCTTTTCCGTTTTTCTTCTTCTTCATCTTAGTATTCGAGGATTAAGCCTATGATTCGGATTCAACACTTGAATTTGGGATTAATTGTAAGAACTTCTTTCTCTTATTTAATTCATGAATAATGGTTGATATGAGAGGAATGATTATGTGTGTTGAATTTGATTTACGTAGCTAATTTCTTCTGCTAGGGATAGGGGATGATTATTCTTGTTTGATTCTTATTTCTCGGGCTTGATTTGTTCATGCTTATGTGAGTTGATATAATTCAGAATTGATGAATTTGTGCTTGATTGATTGATATAATCGAAGAGTGACACTTCGATCTTGCGATTGGAAACAATTGAATGTTAATTTGTCGAGTTAGGGTTTGTCAATTCTATATAATTAGTTGATTAATCACCTTCTAGTTAATTAGCGACCTTTAGAACCGAAAGGGGAGAAGTCATAGACTTAGGCTCGCACGAGGTAGATGATTTCGTAATTGAATAGTCTATTGGTTTTGGATTAAAATATATGCTTGTCGATGACTCGTCCCTTGTTACGAATAGTTATTGGGATTGGGGTAATTGGTCTGTGTCGTATGCTCAAGTTTGTTCGTCTATGTTCAATACCTTGTTACGAAGAGTTATTGAGAGCGGACTGCTAGATGTTTAAGCGAGAGTGTCAATCTCGAACCGAACAATTGATTGCCCGGTTTTGCTAAGAACTTGAATAAATTATCCCCGATTCTCTAGCTTTTCCATCTTTGTTTCATTCTTTTATTCTTAGGTAGATTATTGCTTTTTCTTTCTTAGTTAATAATTATTCAAAAACCCTATTTGATTAGAGTGTTTAGGATTTTATTTTCTTTTTGTGTAAAATCAATACCGAAGCTAAATTTCGAACCGCCTTCCTTGTGAGATCGACTCGGGGAACGAATCCTTCGATTCGGTACTCGGTAAAAATAATAATTTGTGCTACAACAGTTCTAGTTCAAGGTCGGGAGATACAAGATCAAGAAATACAACACCTAACCTTTTGTCCCGATCGATATCATCTTCAGGTCGATTAGGCGAAAAGGTTGAGAGGATAGATGAGTAGGTTGGGGAAGGACCTCTATTGAAGGAGAAGAATGAGGTGAGGTGAGGTGAGGTGAGGTACCCATGAATAAGAGCGTCTGCAGAATCGCTGGTCGCAGAATTATCTAAATGAAAAAATGGACATGTGACTACATTATGCCCTTCTCCACCACATTTGTTACACTTCAACTTAGTTTGTCACTTTGTTGCCTCTTCATCTTTGTAGGAGCCGAAGTTCCTTTTTTCTTATTTTTCCCAACTTTGATGTCATTCTCCCTTCTCCTTGCCTTAGAATGTCCCTTTGCACCCCTTCCAAAATTTGTGGCAGTGGTGGTATGAAACTATTATCCTCCCAAAGTTCAGTGAATTAGATACAAAATGTTCCCATAAGCAATCATATACTTAGACATTGTGTAGCATTCATTTATATAGCCCTCAACATTACCTCTCTGGAAAGAGATGGCACTCGAAGCATGGTTGCATGGAACTCCAGACAATCCCTATGACCTACTTGAATAAAATCCATCCTTTAAATTTACAGAGTATTGTGCTCCATTGTTACGCTTTGTCTCAAAGTGTATGTCACCATCTTCACTAGTATGCAATCAGCCACTCCTTTACTGTGCAGCTCCAAAAGCTCCAAGACCAGATCACTTTCCAAAGGCATTTGTGCTCATTTTCTTCTGCAAACAACAAGATATTGTATGCCGATTTAGTCGTAATTAAACCGGCCATTGCACGAGAAATTCCAAATAGATATTGTCCTTCTCCCCAAATCGAGGTGGTAGAATTGTTGCTACCCTCATCAAAGTTGTTGCAGGGATAAGATGAGAAAACAACTCCCATCTCTACTAGCCCAAGTCATTCACAAACTTATCAACCGACGCAACTTAATCCGAACACGCATCCGAAAGTAAAAATGTATAAATCTATTAAAAAGTAGGAATACTACGGTATTCCAAAATTATTATGAATCAATTTAGCAATAGAATCTCAAAAACATTGAATCAACAGTAAGATAAGATGACCAATTCGATAACTGATGCAGATTATGGGAACCATGAATTTTCCACAATATTGGCAAGACCAAGGTAAGCTTTTTTTT